CGATTCTTTTTGTTTTGTTTTTCTCATTAAAACGGTGATTTTTAATTTTTTTACTTCTGTGAACCCCATCTCATAAAATTCGGATCAAAATTCCGGATAAAATGGGTGAAAACTTTGAAAAAAATTTTCAGTTCAAGCCGAAAGCTGAACCAATTTTTAGCAAAAAAGTCCAAAGTCGAAAGTCAAAAGCTACTCGCATGCAAGCCAAAAGCTAAAGTTTTATTTTCAAGGTTGCAAGCTAAAAGCCAAAAGCTCAAGCTTTATCGTTTGGCTTTCAAGCCTGCTCCTGAGCAACAAAATTAGGCCTTTTTAACCCTCGACAGTCTTGTTTTTTCAAGATATTTTTTAAAAATGAAGATGTAATAGGCTTCAGCTCTGAAAACGAGAATTTCCTTGAGAGCCTTTTTATTTTTATGAGGACAAGAATACAGAAACTACCAGGTGCCGTTGCATTCCTTAAAAGACCAAGTGGTGTCGTGACACCATCTTTACAACATCTCACAAAAGACCTGGTGGTGTCATATATGACACCATCTTTACAACTCGATCGATTTCGATAGTTTCCACACAAGAAATTGATTTTTTGCTGAGCATTTGAAATAGTGTTATGTATGACATCAGCTGGTCTTTTGAGGAGTCCCTTAGATGTTTCCCTTAGTGTCGTATATTGTGACACCACCCGGTGCTTTGAGTGTCGGAAACATTTTTCTCGCAACATTCTTGTTAAAGCGTTCAGGAGGCTTCCATAAAATATTATATGATATTGCTGGCTTTTTCTTTCCTGGGATTGTTATATTGTTTGTACATTCTTCCGTTTCCTGGAATACCTTACTATCAAAAACGTTGATACCAGTTTATTAATTATTATCTAATTTCCTCGTTAAATGATGCTCGTTTAAGCTGAAAATGTAAAATTATAGAAATTATAATTGAAGCAAAATTGAAGTTTTACTCGAAATTCGCATCCATATAAAAGTTTACTTAGTATTTCCATTGAGAACTGTCATTCAACGAATCCAATTATGCATTACAAAACCTGCTGTATTGTATAATTCAGTCCTTATCACATATTCAAAAGTTATTTCGTCCCACATAGGTTTGCGGGCATTCCAAGTTCAATTATTTTGATTCGAGAATTATACTCGTAGTCTGATTTCTCTTGGTCATAAGCGATTACTATTGAAAATGGTTATGAAAAAGTTTTTCTTTTGCGGGGCATATAATATGTGAACTATCGTTCTGGCTAATCCAAATGTCATAGTTTAGTGACTTGTGGAATGTTTGAATAATATTTCTTCTCTGCTCCAACTGGTATGACTTGGTGAGGTGTCGAGGTTTAATAATTTAATTTTTTTACTGAATTTTGTCCTATTTTTGTAAGTTCTCCACTTGGTGGGATTCTGTGGGTTGGAAGTCTGCTTTTGTACCCACTGAATCGACTCATTTAGTATTCTTATAATTGAAATTATAATGTTTTGTATGTTTTATCAGGCACCAGTTTATTCAGCGTAGCTGTTCACGAATTGGGTCATTCATTGGGCTTGTCACATGTGTCGGAGAGCACTTCTGTGATGTATCCTTATTACTTCCAGGAGTTGGATAGTAATTTTGATTTATCCAGGTTCGATCGTGACCTGATTCAACAAATATACGGTGAGCATTATTATCACTGCATTCTGTGTGGAAGATTTCGGTTTCACTCAGTGTTATTTTGCTGAAGTACTCGAAGTGTATACTTTCATGCAGTTTGTCAGAGTCACGACAGATTTTCCCAGTCGCTTATCACTGGAATAAAAGGTGCTGTAGCATTTCCCAAAAGACCAGTAGTGTCATATATGACACCATTCAGGATGTCTCAAATTATTTCGTATAATTTCAAGCGTTTCTTTACAAAAAAATCATCTATTTCAACCAGGTAAGGCTAGAGAGGTCTATTTGAGAAAATGTACACGAATTTCTCCAATGGTGGCATAATGTAGGAATCACTTTAATTTTTGCGCAAAAAATTTCTTTTTTGGTGAGCATTGAATGACACCAGCCCGTCTTTCGATGAATGTCACTCAAAGTTTGCCCTCGGTGTCGTATAAGACACCACCTGATACTTTTAGTGTTGATCAAAAATTCAACCCACTTTTCATAAGGAATTCCATAATGACTTCAAAATCTCGCTGGTGGGCACTTTTGTGAAACATTATTAGTAAAAAACTTGGCAGATGATAATATGATAACCAATCATTTGTCAATTTCAAATGTCTACTAGCGAGTGATGTCGAATGGAATGCCTTATGAGTGAAAACCTGCTAAAAAGCCTCCTAGTGAGCTAGCAGTACCGATTTGTCCGCATTCTTAAAGTACACTGGCAATAATATTCGATTCCACAGATGGTTTGATCGAATTCATATTTTTAATGTAAAAGTTTGTTCTATGGAATGAGATGTGTAATCAGTCATACTCTGCGTGAAATATCGAAATCTGGTATTCTGAGCCTGTAGAAAGGCTATACCTGTGTTGGATTGATTCATGTACTATCGATAATAATGACATTGATGAAGTTCATTATAATCAGCGTCTGCCACTGTGATCATGTTTCAGTCATCTTCAATATGTTAGAATCTGTGCAGTTTCTGACTCAATTTTCGTTTCAGGACCACCAAATCGCTATTACCCAAGAATAGATTCGCCTGAGTACTCCACTCCTCGTTCTTCATCGAGTTCACCTAGAACTCCGAGCACCACATATCCGAATCACCGAAGAGATCGTACTACTCCGGGTGCTGGGCATACAAGCCCTTCGTTCCATCCCGATCTACCGCGTCCTCCAGCCCCTCCAGTACGTCCAGCTCC